GCCACTCAGCAGCTCACGCAGGCCTGCCTTGCCTCCTCAGATCGCTTTCTCCTTAAAAAAATTCAATGTGGGGAGTTTCTCCAATCTGATTTTCAACTTATTTTTCAGCAGTAAAGCCATATTTTCAGTGAATTACCCCCCAGTGATGATATATACTGATATATACTGAGACAAGCTTGTGGTGTCTTATACTACAAGTCCGTAGGCCACCCAGGCTGCTCACGAGCTGCCGTGACAGGAGCAGAGATGGTGACGTCCTACGGAGCCTCAGTCCCTCCCGCCACCCTGTCCACAGAGCCCTACTCCAAATATCGGACAACCAAGCGGATGCCAGAGCCCTCTGCAGCACCAGTGGCCCTAGGAGGTCCTGATCCCAGGACGCAAGCACGTTCCTTACACAGAGGACTTTCTTCTGGCATTTCTTCTGTATTTTCACGTGCATTTTACTACTCGGGTGTTTCACTGCAGAGGCAGAAGTTGATTGTTCAAGTCCCATCCTCCCATTTGCTATGCAATTTTTATTATAACTTCTTTATTTTCACAGCTTTCATGATATAAATGTGACTGAGGAGTGTTGGACATGCTGATTTACACGCTGGCTTTTCATGCATCACAGAAAGACAGAACATTTTATGTTTTGTACCAATTCTCATAGGGTTTGCTTTGGCCCGAATGCTAAATATGCAAACATGCAGGCTCATTTGGAGCCTAGATTTGATGTATCTTCTTTTCATGATTTCATGATGCAAGTAACCCCAATCTCCAAAGAAAAATAAATAGAAGGATGTTTTCTAACTTGCAAAGTTAAAACAATCTGTATTGTACAGAATCTACGCACCTTCTCTTCAGAATTGCTTGCTTATGTGAAGAATTAGAAACATCATGGCAGCCAAGACCTGTTACTGGAATTTGTTAACACAACTCATTTGCTAACCATAAATCCAAATAGTCACAATATTTTTTTTTCTTCTTTAAATGTATGCAGTACGGTGAATTCAGGTGAAATGTTACTCCGGGTATTTTTGGTTTTACAGCATATACACACACACATTTTCATGAGAACTGTCTCGGGCACCCTGACACGAGGTGTAAAGCACATGAGGGACTGCCAGGGTCCCCACCCCGTGCACGGTGGCTCTTCGCGAGCAGGCTCGTCCTCGCTTGCAGTCTCGGTATTAGATGGACTTGCTTCATTCACATGCCTAATTCTAGCAGAGCAATATTCCTCCCGGGCTCAAAGCCTTTAGTTTAAATGGCATGAGAATAAGCAGGGTTTTGATCCAGTGGCCTCCTCCGGGAAAATCGTGCGAGCGGAGCAGGTAGCAGGTCCCCGAGTGTCGCCCTGCTCACGTGAGGCAGCCCCACGGAGCTCGACACGTGGGGCACGTGCAGCTCCGCAGGGACCCACACCTGCCTCTGGGAGCAACCTGAGACCTTTGCAGATATGATGGGAGCCCAGCAGAGCGCAGGGCTAAGCTTAAACACCCCACACAGTAAGGACACTTAAATACACCACAGCAAATAACAATAAAGGGGTGGGGGAATAAAGACAAATGCCATTTTTTTTGTCAGGGCCTACAGAATGGAAAATATTTCTTTCAGAACTGATTATAACCACCAGGATTTCCTCTCCAGTGACCCGAGCTCAAATCACAACTGAAAAACAAGGGTCTTAAATTAGGCAATTGTGCTCCTCCCCATGGCCAGCCATGGGACGGGGTTTAACACCTGGCAAGGAATGAAGAGAGCTGAAGAACGAAGAACTTCTTTTTATTAGAAAGCCCCAAAGACACCCAAACTGCCCCAAAGACACCTGAACTGCCCCAAAGACACCTGAACTGCTCCAAAGCAGTTTTCTTTACCAGCCTTTAGGTGAGTTGCAACATCCCTGCACACTTTCACACTTCTGTTTGAAGCTGACGGATGCTGGGAGGGCAGAGGATTTCCCGGTGTTTCCCTGCACGCAGTGATCGTTACCCCGAGCAATGACCGCACAGGTGTCTGTGCCACAGGGCGGTGAGTGCCGGGCGATCTCATCCGCGCGATGTGGCCAGCCCGGCAGACACCCTCACCCCCAGCTCCGCGCAGCTCAGCGCACTCCACATCCACTTTATCCTATTGATTTCCCACTATCGCAAGCGTTAGCTTCGGTTTAAGCAGCACAGAGTCGCTATTAAATCAGACAGAGATCAAACCCGTGCACTGTTTTTCAAGCGTGAGATGTTATTCAAGTGAAGTATTCAGATCTCAGCTAGATGTCTCTCCCCACAGTAGGCAGAGGTCTTTCATAACCACATCCAAATACTTTATGATATCCTATTTTCTCTATCATTTTCCAGATTTTTTTTCAATTATTGCGTTCTTTTTTAATTCCTCTAATCCTCTTTTCTGAAGACATAGGATTAAAAGGGCTAAAAATAGCCTCTTAACGGCTACTTGTTTACCTTTTTTTTTTATTTTTTTTACCACAGCAGTGTCAAACAGAGGGCCCGAACAACCAGCATTTCCCAAGCAAAATCCCATTTGCTTCTCAGGACGCTTTGCCTCAAACCCAAGTGCAGCCCCAACTCAGTTTGGGGAGCAGAGCCGCAAGGGCTCCTCCTGCCCCCCGGAGCACCCGGCCCAGGGGCACTGAGGTGGTGCTGAGCACCTCCCTGCTGCCCTGTGCTAGGTGCAGCTCGTGCAAGGGCCCGGTCTGAGCTGGGCAGTTCCATGCTCAGGGATCCACGGGCCGCGGCTGCCGTGCGCAGCGCTCCCTCCGGACGAGCCGGGGGAGCTTGCAGCGCTACCGGGACCCAAAGGGCAACCTGGGCAGTGAGATCCGCTGGGCTGACACATTTCACGCGCTTGGGGGCACCTGCTGTTACTCTGCGCAGCCGTTACACTCCCTCCGAACAGGGAATTTGGTGCCCTGGAGCAACCGCCCTTGGCTACCCGGGCACCGCTCACCCCGGGGGCTCTGAATGAAACGGCGCAGGTGGGAAGCAAGCTCTGCGATCCCAATTTGGGGTCAAGCAGATCCCCATGTTCCAACAGTGGCCGGGACAGTCTGACCACAAAACGCAAAGCTCAGAGTTCGCCCCACACCAGACGCCTGCCATCTGCTTGACATCACACCCGAATATATGCAGCACAAAACACATAATCCCACAAAAAGCACACGTATCTTACTAGGCATTGCAACAGTGAGCGCAGCCGCCCGTCCTGCTGCGAGCGCTGCTCTGTGGGCCCGGGCCCCACGTGCTCCCCCGGGAGCCCGGGGGACGAGCGGGCGCCCCGGCGCGCGGCCCTCGGCAGCAGCGCCGCTCCGGCAGCCCTACGCAACAGCCCCACAGCCAGCTCATTAAATGACCATTTCCTGAGCAGAACAAGGTGAATACCTAGTGCCAGAACTTCATCAAAACCTCACAGTCCTCAGCAGTCACTTACCACCTGTTTGACTTAAAACACTAGTATGCAAAAGACATAGTACACGTCGCGACAAACTCACACATACATGTATCCACATCGCCTTATCAGCATCCTGCTTTTATCAATTCATTCTCACACAGCACTTCCCTTTTTCCACTCATATTCTTCACATTTGCTGAAGGCACAACACCCAGATAGGTAACACAAAATGCACTTCCCGTAGCAAAGTCAACAGTCTCCTAAGAGAGCCGCCTGGCAAAACTACTTCATTTAAAAATTCTAGTTTCAAGATAAGTCTTTCCAAAGCATTAGAGAACACCACCGACATGATTAAAAACTACTCGAGGTGTTTGTACTTCTCCTATGCAACACATCACTTAACCTTTAAGAGATAGGGGCTTTTCAAAGGAAATTATAAAAGCAGAAGTGGTAAAATCTCCTCTTTTTATCAAGTTTAATGGATGAGACAGATTCTTTAGGTCAAGTTCCCAGAAAGGCAGAGCCAGATCACCCTCTGGCTCCACGGCGGAGCAACGACAGCGCACAGCAGGAGCGCCCCAGAGCCCTCGGAAACCCAACGCGCGCCCGACTCCGCTGCAGCTCCAAGCCCTCACCTGCACCCGGCCGCCTTCCTCATGCAGAAACGCACTCGCTGACACTTGCACAAAGGAGAATAAATGATTTTATGCATTTTTATGCATTTTTCAATGCTCCCTTGTTATGCCTGCCACCAAGGAATGTCAAGAGTATCTTAAATATCTTACTGTCTATTGTCAGCACTATAGAATATACATAATATATAATTTTATTTTAGTTTTCACACATGCTAAGGTTTTCAATATGATAAATGTCTTTTCAAATCTGGTTTTTTTTTTTTTTTTTTTTTGTCACACAGTAGATCCACCTCTATTTGACAGTGACCCCAGGACATACACGTCAAGACAAAAATAAATACTGCTGCGATGGCAAATGTTTCAGAACTCTTAGGACACTATTACAGCAGCACTTCAAAGACTCCTTAAACACAACAAAAGAGACAACAGCTAAATAGAAATCTGCTTTGATATAGCCAGAAAACCTGCACTACGTTTAGGAGATCTGTGCTTGTTCATGCAAAAGCAGCTTTTAATCTTCGAACGTGTCAAACGCTGCACTCCAGCCCTCCACCCGCACCCTCAGAAGAGCCTTGCTGCTATTTTAAGCAAGCATTCCTGTGAGCTCTACATAAACAATGCTGTAATTCCCAAACAATTGAGGTAATTATAAAAATGAATATCATTTATTGTTTTGTTTATTACTATCACGTCTGAACAATTACTTTCATACAAAAGTCTGATTTTCAGCATTATGCCTTGCAAGGGCATCCCCTCCACACCACGGCAGACAGATGTATCAGGAATTGTGCAAGAGTTTTGCTACCAGCCTCAAAGCAACAGCAACTCCGTAAACATGATTTTGGTACAGAATCACGCCTGGCATTTTGAGAAGGGGAAAGGGGGGTTACATCTATGTTCAGTTCTGCTTTATTTTTTTTTTATTGTATATAACCTTCTGAAAGGAAAAAAAAAAAAAAAAAGAAAAGAAAAACATAGAAAGAAATCATCGCATTACTGTATGTTACCCTTCGGCAGTTCTTTGGAGGAAATCAGAAACCAGGCTGCTTTTCCCGGCTCCCTCCCTCCCTCAGGCCAGGAGGGCCGGGCTCGCGCGCCCGTCACAGCCGCGGCTTCCTGAGCAACGTTCTGCTGAGGTCCTTCACCTCCTCGGGGCTGCCCACCCGCTCGTAGCCCAGCAGGGCCATGGGCTGCTGGCAGTACTCCTCCACCTGCTTGATCTGCGGGAAGCTCAGCGCGGTCCTCCAGGCGCTCAGCGCCTGCGTGGCGTTCCTGGCCGACACCACGAAGGGCTTGGAGGAGTAGCCCGGCCCGCTGGTCATGTTGAGGGCGAACTTCTCCATCTCCGGGCTCACCGTCAGGTTAACGAAGCCGTAGACCTGCCGCAGGGTCTTGATGGGCTCCACCACCAGGTCCTCGTAGCGCACAGCCAGGTAGTTGCCCCGGAGCCAGTCGGGGGGGTGCAGGGCGGTCTGCAGGGTCTTGGCCATGCTGCTGCAGATGACCTCCATGGCGCCCAGCGCGTGGTAGTCCGAGCCGCCGCCGCCCTCCTTCTTGCCGCCCAGCTTGTGGCCGGCGTCGAGGAAGGGCATGCGGTGGATGCGGGGGTCCCGGCTCCGCACCACCTGCAGGCTCTCCCGGATGAGCCCGTGCCGGGACTTGATGCGGGAGCTGGCGACCGCGCGGGGGTCGCGCACCAGGTGGATGACTTTGAGCTCCAGGGCCGGGTCCCGCATGAGCGGGGCCAGGATTGCCAGGTCGAAGACGCGGACGCCCTTGATGACCAGCGTGCGGTACTTGTGGCACTCCTCCTGGAAGCGGCTCAGGCGCTGCGGGGGACACTTCTTGCACACGCGGTCGTCCACCATGCCCACCACCTCCTTGCGGTAGGCCGGGCAGAGGGGCGAGGAGCAGATGACCTTGTTGGTGGAGGCGCCGAAGATGCCCAGCGTGGTGAGGTTCTTGCCGGCGCCGGCCGTGCTGTAGAGCTGGAAGACAGAGAGGTCGCAGCGGTACAGGGAGCTCAGCATGTCGCGGGCTGCCCCTTGCAGCGAGACGGCATCGCCGGGGTACAGCTTCTGCCAGACATGCCACACGGGCTCGTAGAGGAAGAACACCTCGGGATTCTGGTTGAAGAGCTCCCCGAAGAAGGAGGAGCCCGAGCGCCAGGTCGTGAACACATAGACCAGCTGCCGCCGGGCGCCCGCCGGGC